ATAGTAATTGTTTACTTTTTCTAGCAATATACATAGATAATATATTAATTATACACAATTATACATATACAATATATAAAATATGTATATACTATATATTTACCGGCTATTTTTAGTTTAAGTTATTGGGTGGACGGCTATTTGGATTAATTCTTCCAAAAAAAATACAAATAGAAATACCTTTTCAAAAAATTGAAAAGTAATCGGAATATGGATTAGTGAGAGCCAACTAGCTAAATATTAATAAGCACGTGTTAAAATCAACGTGTCATCTAAAAAATTTTAAAAAAAAGAAAGCTCCGGGACATCAATGATTTTAGAAGATGTTCAAATCAAATGGACGTTTTTTTTTCTTACTAAATAATAATAATAATTATTGTGTGGTCGTCCTTGATTGTAGAATTAAGCACTACTAGTCTTAAGTGAAAATAACTTGTTAATGCAATCTTAGGCTGACTTTATATCTATTGGCTATACATCATTTTCAAGTCCGTTAACTTCGGAAAAATAATAATAATTGTGTAATACTTTTTCAAAGATGTCTGCAAAGTAAAAATTAAGTAGGACCAAATTTGGGGCAGTTGATTGTCCTTTATTCCAACAACATTATTGTTGTCATGTTTCTTGGATACAGCTTCTAAAAGAATATATAGAAAATTGGGAAAATGAAGAGGTAATCGATCTATAAGTTGGCAAAGAAATAGAAAGAGGAAAATAAAAGCACAAAAGTTTGCTTGTTATCATTTGTTTTTTTTTCCTGCTGTTTGAATGAAGTAGGAGAAAAAAAAAAGTAAATGGGGAAACTTAGTCAGAAATTCTAACAAAGCCATTCAAAAAATGTATAAACTAGCTAAAAGTTTTCCTTATATGGATTTTACCATTTCAATATGTAATTTATTTTTACTCTACTTAGAAATATAACTTTCGGAGGAAAATTCGCTTCATTATAATAGCTTCGTCGCTATTAGGTATATAAAGAAAAATAGACCTATATTCCATTTATTAGACAATGGATATTTAGGACATCAATGCACGAAACATCCTTAGGATGATAATTATGGTTCTTATGGGGTAGACATGGATTTTTCTTTCTTTTATTTTTTTGAATTTTTACTCAATTCTTACAATTAAGAATCGTCCCACCATCATTGCCTAATATACTTTGGGGTCGTTTGGTAAAGTGTATAAGAATACGTTGTATTGGTAATGCTGATATTAATTATACTTGCATTAGTTAGTCTAGCATATTTTTTTATCTATTGTTTGGTTTGATGTATTAAAGTATTGCACAATTTCTGAAAGTATTGTTTGTTTACAAAAATACCCTCATAACCAGTCCATCACTTTATCTTTTTAAAAGAAACATATGTCGATAAATGTTTTTATATGAAAAAAGTTTTTAAAAAATTATTTGTTTTGTCTACTTATATATTGTAGTATATAACTAAATATTTATTTATAAAAAAGAAAATATGCTAAGTATTTATTTATGTACTAGGGATATAATTTTATTTTCCACTTTCTTGGATTATTTCAAACTTGCATCAATATAATAGCATATTTTAATCAAGCATAAATTTTAAAGGACAATTTTGTCTTTAAGTAAGCTAATGCATACATTAAAAGTTTAAAACCATTGCATTGTTAATACCATGATTTCTTATGCATTAGTTATGCATATGATAATACCAAATAGGGTGTATAACTAATGCTTGCATAACTAATGCATAAGTTCAAAGAGTGGACCAAGCAAGATATTATTAATACACAAAGTTAATGCATGCATTATTTTATCTAATGCATCATACCAAACGAGTCCAATGAGTTTAAGTTATAAAGACCGGCAATTTAAAGAATTTCTTATAACTGGTTATTTTTACATGTTATATAGCAGTTAATTTACCTCATTTTCAAGCTTACAAGTAAATGAACAACGGAACAAGACACATACAAATCAAATGCCTAAAAGATATTTTCCCAAAGTTTCTTGAGCTTTGAATGTTCATGTTGAAAGACGAATGAAATGAACTAGGAATAAATCTTCTACTTTTTCATGTTATTTTTGGAGTATAATCATGTTAAATTCAGTTAAATATTTTTTTTTAAAAAGAAACAAAAATGGGTTTCTTGGTCTGCATACTGATTGGACTATATGAATTTATCTTTGGGCTGATTTCGCAAAAGAACTCGGTAATACTAGTCCAACCCATTCTCAACATTTAGCATAGTGAACTTGGACATTATAAGGTAGAGACATCATGTAGCCACTTTAAAGAGCTGCTATTTAAAAATTAGCCAATGTATTCTAAATTTCAGTTTTTCGGTTCAATTTAATCGAGAATTTTTAATTTGAATTTTCAGAATAAAATAAGTACTGACTAATCTCTAAATAGCAGTTGTAAGAATGATCGTTTGTGCACTTCCCCCACTATAAGCTAATGTGGGCTGGCCTAGGTTATTCCCCATCCACTTAAGTAGGCAGATTGCACAAAAGGCAAACAAGGGTTAATTGTTTTTCCTGTGTTAAAAAAATGGCTAAATTTAATAACATTTAAACTGATGACTAAATACTAATAAGTGGTTAAAAAGTAGCTATCCCACCTAATATTATCTAGGAAAAATGACACTATATAGCTGTTGTAAAAATAATATACGAAAAAATATATAAAATTTATATATTTTTTGTACATATATACATTATGTATGTTATATACAAAAATTATACAAATTTTATATACTTTTTCGGCTATCAAATATATATAGTTTCTGGTGCATGCTAAAAGTGAAAATACTCCTATTATTTATGCTTACTAATAAAAGTAAGCATAAAATTAAAGAAAAGAGAGCCGAGAGGGTTTGTAGTCTGTACTCTCTGTAGAAAGCTTTTGTTGAAATTTTTTTTGTAAAACTTAACTTTTAAATTAAAAAATTTGTTTCACAAATAACTTTTAATTAAAAACTACTTTTAAGATTAGTTAGTTGTCTTTATATAAATTTTAGGGTTTAAGAGTTATTTTATCTATAAAAAATTAGATTGAAAAAGAGTCAAATCAACCATACATGCGGTGATCTCCGTTTAATTTTGGCAAACAAAATGGGCAGATAACTTTGAAATCGTGAACAACATATCACCGTGAATACCCTGGACTGCCTCGCTCAACCATGTTAAGGATGTTCAAAATATAATATATAACCATATAAAATAATATTTAACATATATACACAGTATAATATAATTTTTCGCCCTTGGCATAGTGTGGCTACTCCACTGATCAGAGACCTCAACAAAAAAAGATGATTTCCAAAATTTCAGGAAGAGCTTTCTGTCAAAAATAGATTTCAACCTTAACATGATTTCTATCATATTCAAACACTATCAAACTGATTTTTAACGTCCATGAACCTCAAAGAACAAAAAAGTTTCTCTTAACCTCTATAATTAAATTACGCTGATAGATTTATAAAACAAAAACAACTAACAACAACCCAGTAGCAATTAGTATTACGAGCAATTAGTATATATAACTAGAGAAGCAACAATAGGTAAAAGAGAGGGAGGGTTCAACTACTTCTTTCATAGTATAGAAATAAGTCATGTCGCCTCTCTGAGAGCATGAAATAAGCAAAGCCAACAACATTGGCAAATACATTTTGAAGCCAAAAACTAGCAAGCTAATAAACTTAAAAGAATAAGAGGTTGTGGCTTCAATCAAACATAAGCAAATACTAAGTAAGTAATTTTGGAGAGATCAAACTTTCTGTATAAATGAATCCTTGTTGGAGGGTAAGATATGCAGGCAACAATCCAAATGGTCCTTTGGATGTCTTAAACCCGAGATATCCACCATCTTCGTAGTAGAATAGCACTTCACCATCCGCAAACCTATACATCGGTATGGCTAAACAAAGAAGCGTCCCTCGCATAGTAAATAATTCAGTCCAAGATTCATTGACACCATAATCTTTCATTACCCAAAACTTAAAAGTGCCCGCCTCTGCATTTCTGTAAGTACAATAAGCACAAAGCATTCCATCTAATACTGAAACGCCATGTATAACCGCGTTGGAAATATTACAAATTCCCTCCGGCAACGGTATCTCTCCGTACACCTCATTTGATATGTTAAATGAAACCATAAAATACTCATAAAATATCCATACTTATCCAATGAAATGCGCCATGAATAAATGCCAAAGAGTCCTTACCAGAAACACTATTGCGAAAGCCACGAGGATGGTTATCAATTTTTCTCCAAGAACCACTCTTTAGTGCAAGGATTTTACTGGGTGGGTTGGAACCATAACCCATGTTGTCATCAATCTTAAAAATCTTATAGTCATCAATAGTTGAGTCATATCCCATTCCGTAAGTGCTACCGGATACTGGTGGAAATTCGGGATTAGGAAGTACTGCTGATTCATTTGTGGACGGGTTCCACAATAAATGGTCACCATGAGACCAAAGAAGAGACAAGCCATCGCAACAGCATAACATTATGTAACCGCACGGTTTATCATTTGAAGGGCAACCAAGCTTTTGTACACCCTCAACCAGTTGAGCTGATGATAAAGAAGAACAATAATACGAAATCGTACCAACCCGCTTATCATAAGCGGTAGGGAACATTCGCCCAATAAGAAGTTTTTGAAATTTTTTGTTATTCTTGGCATGATTCCAATGCTTCGTCTTAAAGTGAGGTTCAGAGATTAACGACTTCCAAAATTTTGAAGCACATTTGAATCGAAGAAGAGACCGCACAGGTAACCTGCTGAGGATATCCACAATTATTTCCTCTGGGAAGTGAATTTTCATCGCCTAGCTAGGAAAGATAAGTGCTTTAATAGTTCATTACAATTATTTATAACTAATTTAAAGGAAAATAAAACATTGTAAGTGCTCATCAAAGGTCTCTGAAGTTTGACATAATAGAAGATCCAAGAAAAATGGGGACATTGCCTACAGTACAAAAAAGCACAAACAAACTAAAAAGAGATCATTTAAATATGTTTCAACAGCCAAAACAAAGTGAAAAACCATATCTTGGGCATCAAAGTCACGGTATGAATGAACATTGGAGCCTTCTTGAAAGAGAAGTCAGAGAATCCATAAGAAAGCAAGAACCAGCAGCAAACTAGATTCTATTCATACCACATGCTTATTAAATGAAAATCCTCATTTACCTTTTACAACTTGTTTGGATGGTTGTTTCTTAATGTACCGTATTGTATTGCTTTAATGAAATATAATGTTAGGATAAATTGTATCGTCTTCGGTTGTTTCATAATGTCACATGCCAGTAATTTGAAAAATAAACTTACAATATCACAACTAAATCAAGAAATAACTTGAGAATCCTGAAATTAAAACTCACCCGATCAACATCCTTATGATTTATACTCTTTGACGGCTTCACCTCAACTATCTTCTCTTCAATAATATTCTTTGACGGCTTCAAAACTATCTTCTCTTCAATTATACTCTTTGACGGCTTCACAAGTCTCTTTTCTGCAATTAAAAATTTGAGCTTTAGCCACATATAGACATATCTGGTGGAATAGTCAAGCTGCGCACAAACTGAACCAAATACCACCATTATAAATAGAGGGAAAAAACAGAGAAAGAAACAAAAAACCTTTGAGAATTTGATTGAGAAGTAGTAATGTCTTCTTCTTTTTTAATGAAGCAAGCAAAGTTCCAATAAAAGAGCAGCCTTTAGATGCAAGAATACAGAAGGCCATAATTTGAAGTGCTGATTTGAAAATCTTAGCCTTTTGTCCCATCTTTAGCTTTTTCCCCTCTGTTTGCTTTGATTAGGGTTACAAGATGAAGAAGAAATCTAGGGAAGAAACACAATTTCACATGCGACGGGTTTCAGATTTACTGCTTTTGGGCTATCCGGAAGACTTGTGGTTTGGTTGGAATTTTTATTGTACAATTTCACTATACTAATGTTTGGCTAGGAGTTTAATTCTCTTTATTTCTACTTGGAATAGAATATATGGATATTTTTCTTTTCTATTATACAGAAGAGGAAAGGTTTTGACGTGTGTGCTTCAAGTCATTAAAATTAGGCCCGAGGGTATGTTTGTCATTTCACCTATCAGCTAATATACTTATTCTACGTGGCTTTCATGCCCATAGCCAGCACATATTTTTACTCCACCGCATGGAGGAATTCTAACCTGGTCGTTTGGTCCTTTTCAATTGCCCTTCCAATTTCTGATTTAGTTACTCCTTCAAATTTGCTTTTTCCTGGTTCTATCCTCTAGGATTGTTCTTCAATTTCCTCCTCTCTTTAGCTTCTTTATATCTCTTTCGTTGTAAACTACAGTTAATTTTAGTGATCTTGTCTACAAGGGCGGCTCTAGAGGGGTGCCCATAACTTTTATCTGACGGGGTTTTAGTGTTAAGGGTGTCAATTGCTTTAAATTAACTATTTACGAGGTATATATATATATATATATATATATATATATATATATAGGATTTCGACCGAAATTTACGGGATCCGGTGATCCCTTACCATACACATGGGTCTGCCTCTGGACGACTCAACGAATCTTGTGGCTTAAGGCGAAACCATATTGAGAGACCCTTAAATTTATTTTATAAAATTATTATACTAACAACAAAATTTGCTTTCCAAACAACAAATTAATCATTTAAGATAAAAAAAATAGTAAATTTAAAAAAAAAAATAAATGAAAGAAGAGCACAAAGAATAAAGTGGATTATCGGTTGTTGAGGTCTAGAACTTAAAGTGAAAATTTTAATTTGGCTATTATCACAATCACGAAAAAGAAATAAAAGTAAATAACGTACTAGCTTAAGTTTTGAGTATTGACGCTATCAAAAATATTTACTCTTTCTGATCAATTTAAAAGATAATTATAGTACATTCTATTAATTAGTAATACTTATTGGTGAATATCTAAAATAAATTATAAACAACCTAATATAAGATGTTGAATTACACTAAAAAAAAATTGATGCATGAATATTTTTGTTTTCATGCGGTTTCAGAAAAGATTCATGCGGTTTCAGAAAAGATTGTAAAAGAAATTCATTATGTTATCGATATATATAACTTAATTTCTATATAAAAAAAGATAAAATTGAAATTGAATAGTGAAACAAATATACTAACTAACGAATAAGAAAATTATCGTAGTTTATAAATTTCTCATCCTCTGTTCGGATAGGATTTGCTACTAAAATCTCTTGAGAATTATTAACGATTTTCGATTAAAAAAAATTGTTTACCTATCTCTGCGTTTGATTTTGTCACGAGCTCAATTGTCAGAATTTGAAGGCGATCGGGGAGTTTGTGGGAACAAGGAGGATTCAGTTGCTAAAGATCTCTTAAGCATTTCACTTTCCCCAGGCATATAACCTTAATTGTGTGTTAAACTTTATTTTTCTGCTTTGAATTTTGTTCTTTGTTGGTGAATTGGTGCTAATATAATTTTTTTTCCCTCTGCTTACAAATCCTTAGTTCTTGATATTAGAGGTCAAAGTTTTTTTGCCTTGGTGAGGTAGCTTACTGCATTGCTTGCAATTTTAACATTTTCGGCTAAAGCTTGATATATTCGCTTTTATTTAAGCTAGAAAGCCCACAATATCATCTAGATTCAAATACTATCTCTTTTGCTTAATTGATGTTCTTTCATCGCTTTTGTGTCCGTTTTCCTGCTGCTTCGTTGCTCTTACATGTTTCCTCTATCTCTTTTTTGGTTTTTCAACTTCTGGATTTGAGGCAACTCAAACTGAAAGATCTGTTCAAGCCTTTTCTTTGGCTTCTGTATTTGTGGTATGAAATATATGAACTATTGATGCTGATTTTTTTCCTTGATGCTCTATGCCTCCATATCACAGTTGATGAACCCTACACCAACAATGAAGGTTGGACTAATTTTCACACTTTCATGTACGTGTTTTTGATTCAGTTTTAATTTACGCAGGTATTTTGAAAATAAATTTATTTATTTTTCGGGTTTTTAATGTGATTTACTAGCTCTGAAGTTTGTTCCCTTTTTTTTTTTTTTTTTTTT